GCTCTTAAACGCGTGTGTCATTAAATACAGTCCTCCTGACAACAGGCCAGTGAAAAATCTAACAATCTACAGCAAAACCATCAATTATTATGGGCGTTATAACATACGTGTGCAGCTGGACGAAACATACACGTCGAACCCCCCCAGACGATTTAAATCCCTGACGAAACATACACGACGAACCACGGCAACGGGTTAATGACCTAACTCAAAGCCGAGGAAAACAGAAAGCTACAATTTGGAACAGGTACTTAGGGAAACCTCAGAGTGTGCATTCACCCCCAGCATTTCTGTTCACTTTTACATCCCTTCTATGCAAGGGCTGCAAGTAAGGAATTTACATATAAGCAACATTTCTGTGTGCAATGCAAGGTGGCCGTGGGAACAAAACATGTTTACACTGCATACTTACAATTCCTTTGGTACGCTAAATAAAGCAAGGCAAAGTTATTCCTGAGCTTAACTAATTAAATACTATACCATGAAGACATATGGTGGAGTGGATGTATAGATCCATGTTTTCTTGACTTTGACATTATTTGGAGGTCAGTGGTCAGCTTCACGCTCCAGCCGCTTTACCGCCGGGACCACCCATACCAATTGGTTGGGAGGCTGGGTGGGCCCCAGAGCCAGTCTGGATGCTGTCAAGAAGAGAAAACTCTTGACCCTACTGGGACTCCAACTCTGAACTCTCAGTCGTCCAGCCTATAAGCAGTCGCTATACTGACTGTGCTATCCTTTCTCCAACTTACAAAATTATATATATATGTAACATCCCAGATAAGCGCAGGAACAGAATTAGGCATTTTGTTCTGAAGATAACAGAAATGGCATGTCATGTTATCTTGGACTAAAAATAAAATCATCATCATTATTTTAATACCTGTACTGCCCTCTGGTAGCAGAAATTAGATACAGTATATGTACTGCCCTCTAATGGCATCAGTGAGGACTACGAATCTGCATGGTTACATTGTTGTGCATTAGATGTAAGCATAACAGAAATGTGATGATGCATATTTCCGCGGGCAAGCTACCAGTATCTCGAATGACATGACATCCAACCACTTTTCTTCAGGAATCTGATGTGCTTACTAGAATTGTATAGAACATCAAAGACTGTTAAAGGTCATGCCACTGCTCAGGTAGTCAATTACCAGCATCTCAGTGCTGCAGCCTGGGTTTGATCCCAGGTCAGGTTAGATGGGATCTGTGGTGGAGAAAATGGCATTGGAGCAAGTTTTCTCTGAGTACTTCAATTTCCACTGCCAATTCTCATTTCATCAACTCTTCCATATTCATTATTCATTCTATCACAGATGCCATAGAGTCTCAGCACTGACTGGCGTTAAATAACAAAAGGAAACGATGGAGACCACTAACTTAACCCAAGATATGCTGGATCCTTGCAGCTGATATTCAATATGAAATGCCGCTCTTCACAGGCTACAGAAAAACCAATACCAGCCTCTTGCTATCTGCTTGCTGAGCTTATTATTGAACCCTAAAGACGTCACCTGGGGCAGCGCATTCGGTATAGCAACTGCCTACAGGCTGGATGACTTGGAGTTCGAGCCCCAGTAGGGTCAGAATTTTCTCTTCTCCATATCATCCAGACTGGCTCTGGGGCCCACCCAGCCTCCTATCCAATGGGTACCAGGGGCTCTTTCCTCAGGGGTAAAGTGGCAGGGGGTGTGAAGCTGACCACTCACCTCCCGCTACTGCCGAGGTCAAGAAAATATGGATCTATACATCCACTCCCCCATATGCTTTCATGGCATAGTGCTTAATTAGTTAAGGACAGAGACAACTTTATCTTACCTTTTACCTAAAGATGCAGGCAGTACATTGTTCTCCAAACATCAGTGAACTCGTACCAAACTATACAGCTTCACACCTCAAACACAAATGTAATTCTGTCTCATTGACACTGAGGGAAGTATTCATAAAGCCAACATATCTATCTTACCTAAATTGCCCAAAAGGTACTGAGTTGTATTGGAGGCCAAACTAATGGGTCCAAATTTCTCATTACTCATTTTGCGATAGTAAAGTATGAACCCATCTGGCTTGTACATGTCTTCAGAAGACATACTCCACGTCACCTGCAACCAGACAACATACATCTGAATCAGTAATCATATTCACCATATAGCAACATAGTGGAACAGTGAGTTATGGCGCCTGCTATATCTGTGGAAGGCTTTGCAAAGAACTGGGGGTATAAGCCCTATTACCTGAGTGACCATGCCATTACATAATTATTTACAGCACATGCATAATGTGCAGCAATGTGCTCTCAAACCCATCTAACTCATGCAGGCCTACAATGTACACATTTTCATTTAAAATTAACAGTAAATGTCACTTTTTTTTTTTTATTTTGACTGTATGTTCATCACAATGACAGAAATAGTAGAAGCCACTCTTTCCCACATTTTCTGACTTTATAGTCCTTCTGACCACAAGAAATCACTAATACCAAAACAGTTCTGTACAGTTTTTAAAAGGGAAACTTCCCACAGAAATCTACAATTACTGAAAAGGTGTTTCTACTTTACAACGAATATCACTGGACTTGGATCAGGGGTGGGAAAAAACAAGGAGATGGGCCTCATCATAACCAACAACAACACTTCCCAACTTGCCCATGGTGATTCCAAGATTTCAAATTAATAGAAAATGACTTATTGCTTATGTCTCCCTCTTCAATTGGATCCAGAATCTGAGACTAGCTATATCAAGGCAACCAACTGAGAAGAGTTCCTTACTCAATTCTGCTACATGATGAAGAAAATATGAGAAGTTCCTGAAACACTTATAAAAAAAAATACTTGTACAATTAACTTAAGTACCTTTTAACTAAAAGCGGAAACAACCATTTAAGAATAATACCAGGAATAATGGTATTTGAATAGTTTCAATAGCATAATATTGTGATAAGTCTAACCGTTGCTGTGCAATGGGAGATGGAACGAGTTACCACGAAGACAGACCCTTGATAAACGGTCGGTTGCCAAGTTACGCAACAGTGGAAACAAGGTTACACAACAGTAAGGAGAGCGGTGCTTCTCCATACCGTACCGAGCAGAGCCGAAGTGAGATGAGCCAAGCTGAAGTGCTCTGGTTGCTATGCAGCAATAAACAACTCTTGGCAGCATTAACCAGCAACGCCTGTAAACACGGCGTTTACACAACAGTGAAGCAATGTGGGTTTTCTGCTGTCTGACTGAGGGTTTATAAGGGAGACTGGAATGCGTAAGGTGTGAGTTAAAATGTAGCAGCCGCCAAAGACAGTTGAAGTCTATCAGTCACCAGGTTCAGTTGTGGCGAGTGAATTGTGAACATGAAGAAGACATCTCAAGTCAATTGAAACACAGAGGCAGTCGCGGGAAGAATGGAACATGTGTTATACTGAAGATAGTGTGAAGAGATTTGTGAGTAGGGTTTGCAAAGTGTGTAAACCCGTAAGTGTCATAATTAAATACAGTTACGATTTGTAGGTTGTTAAATAAACCAATTAAAAATCTGAAAGGCGTCTTCAGAGACAAAACATGCTACAATATTTTAATATATTAATACTTTATTGATTTTAAGACTCTTAATAAATTTAAATGTCTGTTTTACACACAATTTTAAACTAACTTTAGTTCCAGTGCAAGAACACACAACTATATAATCTGTTTATATAAAGGTGATTAGAAAAGTGACAGACGTACATCATATTTTTTTTTTTTTTTTCATTTTATTTTGTAACACACCAGATAGGAGTAACATCTGGATCCATACATAATTCACATTTCAATGGCAATAAGAGTTGTTAACTGTACGGCCTGAGGATGGCTCTATGAGACGAAACATGTAGTGACATCGTATTCTAGACCAATAAAACTCAATTGTACACAATAAAGTGTGAGTTATTTGGTAAATTACTGTATTTGACAAGAATTAATATGATGATTTATATATAGCATAATAAACAACAGGATACATTCCTTACAGCTTGCACACAAAGACTTTTGCTACCTGCGGGATGAATGGAGAAGGCCAGAGAGTCACAGATAGTTCTGCCCAACTTCTACCACTCACTAAGAGCTGCTAACCGCTGTAATAGGTTTCATTTATATGATCATCTATTTCATTTCTCATCATTTTCCTATATATATTGTGACATGTTGACCCCTACCTCCCCAGCTGCACGTAGCGGTAACGTAGCGCTCGCGTAATAGGTGAGTAATCACCCCGCAACTCTCCCCGCGGTGACGTCACGAGCGGCGCCGAGCGAACCGAAGTTAGCCGAGTTCTAGCATCCTGGTCGCTATGCAAAGCGAGTCAACAGCGATGACGTCACCAAGGGCAGCACAGGTAAACAGGATTGCGAGAGACGACGGTGGTAACAGCGGTTACTACCACTAGCGTTACTAGCAACACAGCGCCAGGCAACAAAGGTGCTTATTACGTGGCCGTTTTCTGTATTGTCCGATCGAGGCTACATGAGGCGCAGCGAAGGCTATTCACAGTCAGTCCTCGAGCTACCGCCAAGTGAGTCCTCGAGCTACCTCCGAGTTAGTTCCGAGTTAGCCAGCAACCATTCAGTTGTATTCTGGCATTTGGAGTGTACTATTTGTGATACTGCAGATAGCAGTAATCGTAAATCTGTAATTTGGGTGATTGTAAGTGCGAATGTGAAATAAAATTCGCTATACCAAATACGGCGTGAAGTTATTTGTCGCGTTATACGCACAACACGTGACAACTGGTGTCAGAAGTGGGATTTGAACTTACACACGTGACCGACGAGATTCGATCTCAAGACACGTGACAATTTGGTGTCAGAATTTTTACGAACTTAAACACACCTGACAAATAATTGGATTATTGTGCATCGAGTATTTGACTGCTACAAAATGGAGACGCAGCAAATGATGGAAATGCTTCTCAAGGAAATCAGAGCTAGCCAAGAAAAAACGGAGGCAAAATTGGACGCCTGGAGAGAAAAGTTGGATGCAGAAACAAGAGCCATCCAAGAAAGGATGGCCGCCATGCGAGAGAAGAGGTTGCAAGCCAATATGGATGCTTGGCACAATGAGACGTTGGCCTGCCCAGTGGACACGAAACCTGCGACGGCACAAGAAGAAGAGGTCCCCATAGTGATACCGGTCGGAGTGACGATGGCCTACCAAGAAACGGAGGCACATCCAGAAGATGAAAAGCCTGCTTCAGTGCACAGGAAACCTGAGGCGGCAGAATTACTAGAGGTACCTGTACAAGACGCCGAAGTAATGCCGGTCAGAGAACCGGAGAAGAAAAGGCGCAGGGACCGCAATCAACGAAACAAGAAGAATCCGACACGGGAAAATTGCGGACCCCAGAATAAATTGGCCGTCGTCAGCAGGAAGGTGTCCCGCCGTGCAAGAGTGTCATGGCGCCAGAGAAACATCTTCAGGAAATCTTGGACCCGAGGAGATCACACGTCCCGGATAAAATTGGCTGCCATCTGCAGGAAGATATCCCGTCGCGCGACAGTGGCACGACGTTGGAGAAATGACTTGAAGAAGGAAAATCCCCAGGGAACCTTCGGATACAGGAGAAAGGACTTGGAATCCAAGGTCTCGTACCAGCCAGCGGCTAGAAGTCCAGGAGGAACAACGACGTCAGCGAGTGCAAACAACGCATCAAGAGCTGCTATGTCGATGTAAGAAATTTCCGACGAAAGACCTGATGAAGGATTGGACCTTGTGGCGGGGACGACCACCTCCAAAACGGAAAAAGAGACTTCAAGCAGAGGAGGAACCGGTAGTGTAGAAGTACCGGCCTTCCAAGGAAGGATGAAAGCGATGGATGA